TTATGCCATCTTTAGAGTTTCCACGGTTTTTGGCACTTCTCTGTTGTAATTTTGTGTTTCATGTGCGGCTTTAATTGCTAACTGGGTACTGAATATTTTCCCCTCCTTGAAGAAGACGAAGAAGATGACCGGAATAAATAGTTCAGATAGTATGTGCACTTGAAATAGGCTGTAAAGCCATGGACTTGAAAGCTTCAATGTAGGCTTTCTCAGGTTATAATGAGGTCCCCAAAAACCCAGCATGCTGTGTAATAATTAGAACAGCCGATTTCTTGATATCTATTGGGAAGGCCTATTTGTCTCCTTACTGTAAAATTTCTTGTCAAATTTGATGATTCGTGATAATTATCGGTCGGTATTAATTAACTATGTGGGATAAAATTGAATGGATGCAGGTAAAGTTATACTGGAGTCCGTTATTTTAACTGCTTTTGTGGTGGTTAGTCTCACGCTGTATACTTTTTGGGCTGCAAAGAGAGGCCACGACTTCAATTTCTTGGGACCGTTCTTGTTTGGTGCTGTCATGGTTCTCATGCTGTTTGCGCTGATTCAGGTAAGAATTATTACAACAATCGTCCATTAACAGAAGTATGGATTTTTTTGGTTAACCGGAGTTAATCTTTATTAACTCCAAAAAGATGGTTGGGTTAGATTTGAGCGAGATTTTGAGTTTGTACTAGAATAATATATAAAATAAAATGATTGAAGTTGATTTGATGTAAAAGTAAGGAGAAAAATGATTAGAAGTGATGATAATTAAAATTATGTGAGTAGATAAATAGTGAATTAAAGTTGATGTGATTTGTAAAAATAATTAATTGATATTATTTAGCTATACTTATATTGAGTTAGATTTTGAGTTAAAAAATGAATAATGAAAAGTGATTTTTTGATTTGATTGGGTTTTTTTTATATCCAATCACACCCTAAAGCTCGGCCAGGTTATGAGGCTTTTGTAACAGATGGTTGAATAAACTATTTAGATGAGAGTTATTGAGTGTGGTATTTTCTTGAAATATTCTTTGGTGCAGATATTTTTCCCATTAGGTAGAACGAGCATGATGATATACGGCTGCTTGGCCTCGATTATCTTCTGTGGGTACATCATATACGATACTGACAACCTGATAAAACGGTACACATATGACCAGTACATATGGGCTGCTGTTGCTCTGTATTTAGATGTCATCAACCTTTTCCTCTCGTTGATGACTGTTTTCAGAGCTGCTGAGAGTTGACGAACTTGTGATTTTAGGTGTCTGTGTAAGGATGTGTATGTAAGGTTTTTTTTTTTTATTTTTTTTTTTCGTTNAAGTTCTCTTGGGAACTGTCAATAAATGTGTATTGCATGTTTTTTTTTTTCTTTTAAATATTAATTTTGTTTACAATCCATGTCAATGTGGAACAACAAATGTACAGCCATTTCTATTGCTATGTTCATTCTTTGTTCTACCACTTGGTCACAAATTGTGTAATTCTTTTGAACTCATGTTAGCTATTTCCTTAAGCAGTCATTCCTCTGCCTCTTGTGCACGGCTCGTTTCCTCTTCAAATACACCTATAAAAGCTATAAACCATATTAGGGTCTCAACATTGTCCTAAGACCCAATAATTGAGAAGGATAATGTGGAGGTTGGGGTGCGCTCTGTTGTACCCGTTGATGCAAAAAAACCCAGATCGCAGATGAGCTTTCTGATCCTATAAATTTTTCGAGATGTCGCAAGTTGATTTGCTTATGTTCTTTTTTTTTTTTGTGTTTCTTTCCCAATCTTTCGAATCCTTTTCTTCTCCATCGATTTACCTTGTTCAAGAATGTAAATTCTAAAATAAACTCAGAATATCGGGCTTTTCAGGTTGTGTTAAACTTTTTTTTTGCTGTAACATCCTACCAAGGTATTTAATTTATACCTTTGAAAGATATAGAATTTTTCAAAGTCACTCAAGGCTATCAAACTTGATAAACAGCAAAAAATATCAGTTTCCTCGCAAAACGAAACTCGAACACGCCGAAATAACAATCGGCATAACAGGCACACACAAAAATAAACAGAAACTACCTTATTTATCCTATCTGCTTGACTGCAAGCCGCCATTACCATAGTACTGCTTCGTAGTCTCTTTAGCAAATTCCGCAAAAGTCATTCCATCCTTTAACCGTGAAAACAGAGGAGGCACAATCTCAGCACAAATAAGTGCCTTATCCTCCTCATCACACGATTCCAAATCCCGATTGCCAAACAGCGAATTAGGATACTCATACTCAGATAGTGAAAAAATCTTGTTCCAAGCAGGCTGTAAAAACACGACAAAAGTCTCCCGGCTCAAATCTTCCACCTCCAATGGCCGGCAAACACTGTGAAGTGTGGCTCGAAGAGCTCCTTTTGAAATTACATCTGCTGACTCACCAACTTGAACAATAAAACTCCCAACCGAGGCTTTTACCTTAAGGACACGTTTGGCGTCTGGATGAAATATTTGCAAGTACGAGTGCCCGTTTGGAGATTCATATTCCTGCTCGGTTTTTCCGCTCGACTGAATAAACATAGGCGAAGTCAGTATCGTGAATATCCCATAATCGTAATGCCATTGCTGCCACAAATTCGAGTTACCACTTTTAGCTTGTTTTTTCTTGTTTGCTGCTTGTTTAATGGCGACATTATCAGAAACTGAATGATAGTGTATCAGACGGCCTTTGGCCGATCCGGATTGTAGCAAGCTTTGCTCGAGCTCACGGCCACCGATCGATTTATCACACGCTCGGGCAAGAGAAAGCCCCAATTGCATCATACAAAACCCTAATTCCCGAAATACAAACCCTAGATCCTCGAATTCTCCTCCACCATTGATGGGTTTAAAGTTTGAATCTTGATCGTACTTCATTTGAGTCGCGAAAGACGACACGATTCTATCGAGATTTTTCAACGAAACATCGCTACCCAGATTATGATCCTAATCACTTGTTCAGCAGAAAAAAATAGTTACGGCTTAGGAATATACAGATACATAATACATTTGAATCGTATTTGAGTGTGGTTGAATTTATACCTTGAGAATCTTTTTCCGATCATCATTGTTCAGAAGGGCGAGCTTGCGGGCCAAGGGAAGGAGTTTTCGGGCTAGAATATGGGCGTTGGGGACGCCAACGATGGACAGAAGGCCCGGTCCGTCGCGCCCGAGGTTTTGCATTATCGATTTAGAAACTAATTCAAGCCGCTGGGTTTCCTCCATTGTCGCCGTCTTTTGGTCGGAAGAAAGGCTCATGAGATCGCAATGCTGTAATTGGTAGAGTTCGAGGGTTTCTTCCATTTGTGACCGGTAAATTTTCCGCTTATGAGGTTTTGGAGCAGAGAGGTTTGGGAACTCTGTAGTCCGTGTAGAGCTCTTAAAAATGCAACACAATTACATTTTTTTTTTTTTAGGTCAACACAATTAATTTCCGGTGATTCATTAATGTGTCAAAATATTCTAGTTGTTTGGTTGGAGTAATGAATAATGATTTAGAATTTTATTCATGTCTATTAATATTTTTAAAATTATATAATATTTTAAAATATAACTTATAAATATATTTTAAAATATAATAATTTTTTATTTATTATAAAATTTTTTATGTAATATAACGGTATTCAATTTGATACTTATATTTTATGAATCTATATATATTGAAAAAGAGAAGTCAATAAATCATTTGTGGAAACTTTTAAAAAACTGGTCAACAACATCATTGACTTCCCATTTGTGGAAACTAATTAAAAAAATTCAAAAATTATTTATTTTTTTATTTTCTTTTTATTTTAAATCATTTCAAAACAGAATCAGGCAAAAAACATAATACTGGAATTATTCTAGTATAAACAATATGGCCGGATTTTCTTTCCAATTATTCAGGAAACCACCGGATTTTCTTAACTATGAAATCATAGGAATCCCAATTTTTTAGGTAACAAATTTGGAGATTTTTTTGGATATATTCCAACTTATCTTAACATCTATATAATCACGACAAAACGCTTCAGTATCTTTAAAAAAAAATCACGCTTTTCCTTTTCTCTCAGCGGCTGCCATTGATGGCGTCCACGACCCTCCCGACCGGACCCGCCAGCGCACCGCCGAGGAGCTCAATCGAAAAAAGCTCGACGGTGGATTCAGATCCAACAGGGTGGGGATCAGGTACGAGCAACCTTGCCGCCATGAAAGCTTCAATCACGAGGGCGGTCGGGAATTTGCTCCGTCTAGGGCTGACCAGACCTACAATTGGGTAACCAGTAAGAAGTCGTGTCCGTCTAGATTCGGCGAGCGTAGGGAGAAGGGAGAAAGAGGGGCTTCCTACTTATTCGTGCCCTGTGGTTCTCTTTTCGGATTCCCCGATTCCATGTAAAAAGCTTGAATCTTTTTCTTATTTACTGATTTTTAAGTACTATTTTGCTAAATTTTATTTGATGCTTATAAGGGTCAGCTTGAATATTTTTCGCTTAATCTTGAAAATAAAAAGATTGGATTTTGATATTATTGCTTCGCTTAATCCATATTGGTTCCAGGTTCATATTTGGAAGGCATTCCAGGTTCATGTCTCGAAGGCGTTCCAGGTTCATATCTCGAAGGTTCAATCACGAAGAATTCTGAAATTTAGTTTCATGTTTTCTATTCCAATTTCAAGTTGTTTTTTAATCTTATAGTATTTGTGTTCCGAGATTGTTGGAATGATTTTTTAGCCTTTTTTTTGTTTTGTCTAAGGATCCTAAATGTTGTTACCTTAGTACTATTTAGATGATTAATTGTACAACTTTGTTTTAAAGTTATTTAGTTCTCAAAGTCCTGGCTTTAATTCAGTTTTCTAATTAATTTATTGGATTTTGCATTTGGCTAATATCACGCTTTACCTTACTATTGCGAAAAAACTTATTTGGAATTGATTTTCAGTGCTTTTTTGTTAAATTGCCTTTTTGTTTNGCTGCATCGAGCAGGTAATCTATTCGATTATATTAATTACCACCGCATCAAACGTTCAAAACAATTTCTTTCTCAATTTAATTGATTGATCAACTATCTAATTGGTTGTTTATGCAGTCGCTTTAGACGATCCATTACAGCCGACCAACAAGCATCAAGGATTTAATGACCATTGAGCTAACGAGCACATACTGGTTTGGGCTTTTCGAGGTTTTTGCGGTTCTTCCAATTGAGTTGTAATGTAGTCGATGCCAAGGTTTGGACATCGGGCTCACCAATCGAGGACGAGCAGAAGTTGGACACAATCGGGGTCATTTTGAAAGTGGACAATGACATTCGGAGCGTGAGAACCTCGGTTTCTTTGGCCGAGATGCATACTGAGATTAGGCTCCACCGACTGATGTTTGTTAACCGAGACTATGAGAGAAGGGTTGTGGCTAGGCCTGGTTCGGGCCCAAGTGTATATGTTAGGAATCATTTGGAGAAGCATTACTCGGTCGTGAATATTCAGTGCCGAGACCGGAATAAGCTTTAGATTTATGTTGTCTGAACTTTGACCGATATGGAGTATGTTGTTTTCCACGCCACGGTCGACACATCTAAGGATGCGGCGTCTGGTAATTTTTTTATTTTTTTATTCTTTACAATTTGAATTCTGTTTATTTATTAATTTATTTGGGCCAATTAATGGTTTGGTTATTTGAAATCAGAAGTTTTCATCAGACATGTGGATGGGACATCGATTAGCTCCGAGGCTGGGAAGGAGCGCGTATTTTTTGTCTACAGGCCGCGATCGAAAGAAGGCATCTAAGGTCCTGTATGAAAAGGAAAAAAGAAAATCTATTATTTTTAGCAAGACTTTTTTGGTTTAGTTAAATTAACATTTTCTGTCTTTTATTTTCTAAAATCATATAGGGTGTGACTTGTGAGGCTCGAGCTGTGTGCAGACGATAGAATAGATTTGTTGGCAGACATGATGTCCATTTTCTTGAAAATGGGCTAAACATCGACCGGGAGATCATAGTCTCGGTAAGGAAAAAGATTTGTTTGAGGAATTTAAAAATTATAGAATTTCCTTCTTCGTGTGGGCGGAAGGTCGAGAGGGAGGGCCCACGCATGCTGATGTCGCTTGGGAGCATGGTGGGGAGGAGTCTGGATTACTTTGGGCTGATTAAGTCTTAAGCTGAAAGAATTTGAAGACACTTTATAACAAAAATGTGTGTTGGGAGGGCATGGCAATTGGCATATTCTTTTTTCAATGGTGATAGGCATTTTGTATATAGATTTACAGAACAAAGAGTTGGTGAAGTTAGTTTGGATTGTAAATATGAACAAACAACAGAAATGTGGGATTGATGTGGGGGACTCCTCCCTTATTTTCCTTTTTTTTTTTTTAAAAAAAAATCTTGATTTGTGGAGCGAAGGAAAAAATTGAAAATGGTAGATAGATTGGTGGGCATAATTAAATAGATGAAAATTGAAGTTAGTAATCGTAGTTGTGTAAATAGAGTTTTCATTTTATCCTAATTTTTGTTGCCCTATTTAGAAGATTAAGTGTGCTACTTTGTTTTAGAGTTAGTTTAGTTCTCAAAGTCCTGGGAGCTCAATAAATCTCTAAATAAAAGAATAACGTGAAGCATAGAAGTTTTTTTCGACTGTCTGGTATAATCCAAAAATTGCTGTTGTTTATATTATTTCAAGTAATTTGGTGGTTGATTTTCAAGTAGAAATATTGATATTTGAGATTGAGTGACTATCAAAGGTTATTCTTTCACCATCTTTTATACATAACTAAGAACCCCAATTTTATAATAATATTTGTTAAGTAAAATGAAATAATTTTTTTGTTCTTCCTTTTTTTGACAGGTATGGAGTTGTAATATATCCTTGGAATACCATGGTACAGTGTGTAGAAAGGATTGAGCATTTTTGTGCTTAAGTGTTGTGAGTTTGATAGGCAATCAATGGGTCAGGGTCAATCTTTATCACACGTTGGCCTGCTCTTGAAGAAACTGATTTTCCGTCACGGCCAATAATATGTAGTTGTTTCTCGTGTCACTAATCGAAAAGGGTTGAAGATTTTAGTTTGTGGTGAGAATGGTTTGCCTACAAAGCAAACAAAGAATGTTGTGTACAAAGAGGTTTTAATAACATGTATTTCTTATTTCTTTATTTTATTTTGTATTTTTTATTCACACAAAGAATTAAAAAAAAAAAAGATTCAACAAATTGCCTGAAAAAATGTTCACCCGTGCATCGCACGGGTTACATACTAGTTGGGATTAAATGAGAGAAAAATAGTGAAAGAAATAAGAATAATTATGGACCATTAGATCTAATATATCAATGGACATAATAAAGTCAAACTTTGGTCAATCATTAATGACAATATGTTAAATAACTTGATATCTCTTGGTCAAATATAAACATCTAAGGGCAAGTGTGTAATTTTATATACACCCACCCAATTAAGTGGGGCCACAACACCAAACCCCAATTCACTTTCTCTCTCCACCTTATCTCTTCGTTACTCTCTTCTCCCGATCTGTTTTCTCATTTTCTCTCTCTCCCGGCGGCTCGCCGGTGTATCGAGCCCAGCCACCACCATCCGCTATCCATTGTCCGCCACTATATCGGTCGGAAATCAGACGGCCGACGACGTCCGGAGAATATGTAGAATGTATCGGCTACCGGCCGAGCTGAGTTTGACCTCGTTGCGGCGGAGGGACGAGATTAGCGACTGCTGTTGACGGCTGGTAACTTCATTGGCGGCGGTGTGGTGATGGCAATGCTGGCGGCGACAGGGAGCAGCATGACGGGAACTCCGGGTGGGCGAGACGCGGAAGATGACGGCTGAACGTCAGCGACCTGGCAGGAGAAGGTGCAAGCGGACAGAGACCCTATGGCGGGCGGGGGGCGGAGGATGGCTGACGGGATTTACATTTTTTGTTCAGGGGCTGATTTTGAGAATTCAACAAGTACTGGGGACTTTTATGAGGTTTGTTGTTATTGAAGGTTTATATGTGTAGGAATAAGAATGAGGTTTTGAATGATCTGGCATATTGGGAATAGATAAAAGAGGTTTGTGTAGGAAAGTTATTAGAGATGCTCTTATATCCTAACTAATTTTAACGTACTTTGAGAATACAAACTTGAAAACAATACACTCTTGACCTGAATTTTCATGTATGTACCATTAGTTATTACCTGGATAAAATGATGGCATAAAACGACGTGTAATTTATAAATTTCAATGGTTATATTATTTTTCCAACATAGTGCTGTATTTTAGCTAGACGTTCCATAGTTTAATAAAATTCAATGTTTATATCAAAATTTGCAACATATAGTGTGGTTAATTTTAGCTAGACGTTCCATATCTTACACAATTTTCCTTGCACACCTCAACATCTGAACATGACACAGACACACACAATAGGGATAGCAGTTTCTTGATTTTATAGTCAAGCCTAGCAAATGCAAAGATGCCACTTTTTTAAAAGTATGAATAATATTTATTTTGTCTTGCAAAATGACACAATTACCTTTATTACCATAAATCGAATTTTCAAAAACGATTTTCTTTAGTAAGAGTAATTGTATCATGGCAAAATAACTATTATTTTACACTTGTACAAAAAATGTATATTATGTATCTTTTTCAAAGCTACATGACAATTTAGTGATATTAAGAGTCATTCAATAGCAAGAACTCCTTTAGTTTATACTTGTAACACGAACAAGTCGTTCATGCACATAATGCAACCCATGGGCACACCATTACAACTGTATTTAAAACACACTAAAAAAAGCCTCATTAATCTACATCAAAGGCCCGATCCACATCAATCCTACAACAAAATGCCCGTTACATCTACAAGTGGCGAGGGCCCGGCCCGAATCACACGACATTTTCCTTGAAGCTCTTTGTTAGCCAAATTGCGGTCTCTCTCGGGGACACCTTCTCGGGCCCGAACGGCCTCAGCAGCACCTGCAGCTCGTCAAACCTCTCTTGCTGCAGTAACTGTGCACTGAACTCGAGCAGCCCCTCGAGAGCTTCCGCCCGCTGCTGGTAAGACCGCATGTCGAACCTCCGAACTCGCTGCCCACTGTCAGAGGACAATCGGTCGTTTTCCGACCACTCGCTCGTGACCTTGTCCTTAGTGGCGGCGGAAACCGAGAAGGAGGCCCGGCGGGGCCCGGAAAGGATCGGGAGCTCGTCAACCATCTTGTCCATTCGCGGGGCATTTACCGACACGTCGGGGGAAACGGGCCCGGAGATAAGCTTCGGGCCGGAAGCCCGTCTTGATATCGGGAGGGAGGGCTTTTGGGCCGGGGTGTGTGAAACCGGGAGCTACACACACATACACACAAACACACGTATATATTTCGATTCGATTTCGGGGCAAGGAAAAAGAACAACGTGAAAAGAAATGCGCGGATAATTTTGAAAAAGTGGGTTGAGTTGAGTTTGAGTCGTGGGATTTTGAGTTTTTGTATTTAAAATAATATTTGAAATAAAATGGTTACAATTTTGATTTGATGTAATAGTATGATAGAGATGATTGAAGCGGAGAAGCAAATAAACACACAGTTAGTTAATTTTGAAAACATTGGTTGAGTTGAGTTTGAGTCGTGAGATTTTGAGTTTTTGTATTTAAAATAATATTTGAAATAAAGTGGTTAAAGTTGATTTGATGTAAAAGTATGATAGAGACGATTAGAAGTGATGAGTAATTAAAATTATGTGAGTGAGTGGATGAACAGTTTAAAGTTGATGTGATGCGTAAGGATGAAGTGATGTGATGGTGCTTTTGCTTTTGTATTTAAAAGACTAAGTGAGAAAATATTACTGAAAGAAAATAGTCAAGGACTGAAAAACAAAATGGAAAACGAACCAATTCGCGAGTTGATCCAGGATTCGATATTCTCGAAGGAGTCAACGATTGTCTTCTAGGATTGGAGTTATTATAAGCTTTTGCCGAAACCATTCTTGGGGTTTTCAATGCAGCAGAAGCTGAGAATTTTGCCGTAACCGGTTTCTTTACACCAATGTCCTCGACTGAAATGTCGGATAACTTCTCGTTCGAATGGCTCGAGGATTTGTGAGCTCTTTCAGAGGAACAATGAGGATTCAGGTCATTTCCCGATATGCTGGGATTAAGAGCCCTATCATTGATGAACGATAGAATTTTCTCCCTTTTGACCGTAGCTTCATAGTCTGTAAATCTCGTTTTCTTGACAAAACTAGGTTCGGATGATTGAGGTGGAAAAGTGTTTCGTCTGAGGTTGTTGGATTTGAGATGAATGTCGAGTATGTAGGGGCGAAGAAGTGGATGTTTCAGCAAATCTGCAGCCTGGAAACAGAAATGTAAAACAAAATAAATAAAAACGGAAGAAGCAAAGTAGGCAAAATTGCATTGTTAGTCCTGTTGGCTGCTGGTTCAACGCCATAGCAATTTTAGTCCCAAATTCCAACAAAATATTAAATCACATGACCAAAAGGCGAAAAGTTGAAATCTTGAGACTAAAATTGCTATGACGTTAAACCAACAAGACTAAAAATGCATTTTTTTCCTGAGCAAAATATACCAATCTCAAAAATTATAGGGAAAGAATTTTGATCGTACACTCGGTCTAATCTCGGGATTTTTGCGGAGCATACTCTTGACGAGCCCACGCCTGCAAAATGAAAGACCGAAATAAGTTTATAGTTGTGCAGACTTGAATGAAAACAAACAAAAATCCACAAACTTACAAGGGAGCAGAATACATAGTTGGAAGTGGAGCTACTGTCGATTTATTTATTTTGTTGATCAGACCTTGTATATCCTGTTCATGGAGCAAATTACATCATCAGAGGGGAAAANAAAAAGATCCGTGTACTAACACAAATTATAGAACTACCATTTTTCATGAGTATCAATTTCAAAGATAAAATACCTAAATCGCAATGCGTTTTTACTTACAAAGGCTTTAAATGCAGGCTTGTGAGCAGCCATTTCATAAATGCAGCATCCTGGATAAGGCATTTCGAGAGTTTGAAAATGATAATTAAAAAAAATCGAATGTATAACCGAGTATATAGCAAAATAAAGCGATCCTTTGAAATTTACCTAAGGACCAAATGTCCGATTTTGAACCATAAGGTATATCAGCAAGAAGCTCGGGGCACATATAACTCGGTGTGCCCACAACCTGCAAAATATATCAGATATAAGACAAATTTAACTTATGGAAATAAGGAAATCCAGAAAAGCTTTGCATGGTAGTCATTAACCATTAGTACTCACAGAAGAAGCTAATTCGTCAGAGGTTAATATTTTAGCAAGACCAAAATCCCCTGAAAAAAATAACCAAGAAAGAAGCATTAAGCCACATGAGATTCGACATTATTTTAAATCCCATCAAAGATTAGCCGACATAATTATAAAGAAAAAAAAAAATAATTGGTTACCTAAGCGTATGTCCTGATCTTTGGTCAGAAATATGTTTGAACACTGAAAAGAAATGAAAAAGCGCATTTAGTTATGTATTATTATTCGTTTTTATTTACATTATAGGTTAAAAAGGCCGCATAATATTACACCTTCACATCACGATGTAGAATGTGATTGGTGTGCAAGTAATCGAGCGCCATCAATAGTTGTACCAGCCACTTGCAAAGTTTCTGTACATAATTCAGAAAATATAATGCCGATTAATTTCATAAATGAGTAGAGTTAAAAATCAGAATGTGAACAAAACGAGCATTAAAGCAGCTCATAGAACAACCTCCTCGGAAAAATGAACTCCATTCGCCTTTTTAATGGCTTCAGCCCTAAATATGTTAACAAAAACTTTATTAACAAAAACTTTAAGAAATTCAGGAAAAAAAAAATATAAAATTCTACAACATATTCAGAATCTGATGTTTTTTCGATTGCCTTTTTTTTTTCTTTCTTTTTTTTTTTCTTTTTTTGAGAAAAGGTAACTTACATGTCTCCACCCTCACAGTACCCGATCACAATGCAAACGTAACAACCCTGCCGAAAAATTCCATGTAAATAGTCAAAATTGCCATTTTTACTGTGGGGGTAAATTGTTTTTCATGCATTCTGTACATACCCTTTCCACCCAGGAGTCTTTGTACTCGACAATATACGGATTTCGAACTCTAGAAATAAGCTCCATCTTTGACAGTAAAAACACAGAAGAAAAAAATCACAATTACAATATATACTAAGGGATGAATGAAAATTAGCATATTTGAACTGTGAGGTGTATATGCATTAGTTATTGTGACCAATATAAAACTTATCTGCAGAATATCAAAAATCAAACAGGCACACCTCCTGTCGAGCAGATCTTCGCGTTCTATCAGTCTGTCGAGCGAGGCGGATTTTCTTCAGAACATACCTTTTAAAAATCGAGCAGAAAAAAACAAGTTTAAATAAATCAGATATTTATGCACATAAATTACAATCATAAAATCATTTTGTGGTCTTAATTATGAATTTTAGCATTTATGTATTTTTCTCACTTCTTCTTCTCTTGTTTATGCCTAACAAGCAATGCAGAACCGAACGAGCCTTTCCCAATCTGCTCCAAGACATCATAGTTCTCCATTTTATATAATTCAAGGTAAACCTCTTTAGGTTATTTATCCCAAATTTACCAGGCTCCAAAATGCAAACCTTAGAGCAACCGGAAAAAAAAAAAATGAAAAATGTTAATCAGCACAAGCATATGCCATTATGCCAGAGAACAAAGTTAAAATGGAGAGCAAGGACACCAATCTGAGGTTGCAAGTGTTTCACATTCTTGTTTTTCATTTAGTTTCTATAAAATGCACTGAATATAAGAAATTTAACACAAGTAATGCAGATCTATTCATTAAAATGCAAAATATGACTAAAATGGCAGCTAGGCAGAAAAGTTTTTACCATGAAACCACAACCCACTATGTCATTTACTTCAGCATGTAAATGATTAGCACTATAAGGGAAGATTATAGCAAACACTCTCACTAAGCACAAAAGTCTCACAAAATAAAAAAATCAAGAACTTTTAGGATTATTTTTTAAAAGAAAAATAAGGGAAGGAAAAAAATTGGATATTTATTTTTGATTTATTTGGGATGTGGGAGACAAAATTATCAATTTCCAAAAAAATAAATTTGAACATTATTTTTATTCAAGAAAATCAAATGCCAATATGTATCTCCCAAATAAGACAAGTGATTTTCTTAAGATTTTAGGTGAAACATTTTGTATATAGAACCAAAAAAAATAGCTCACCTACACGCGAACCACATTAACTAGTTACCTATCCAAAATATCAACCTATCCATACAGCATTTCCCACAAATCAGCAAAAGGCAAGGATCTTTACACAACCAAATCAAAAACAGAAGTAAAAATCAAGAGGAATTTAGAAAGATGGCCTAAAATCCCATGAAAATTTTTCAAGAGACCAAATGCGAATTATCAACTCATGTAATTTAATGATTCGTACCTCAATTTGAAGATGTCAGCATAAAATGCAGATCCCTTCAAGCACTAAACTCGGTATCAAGTGAAGATAGTCATATTAGGACAGGACAAAAAAAAAAAAGAAATCCAAGAAACTTTGAATACTTAATGAGTTCGGTCTAATCTGCTCAAACCCCACAATGAAAAAAAGCTGTGTGAATAAATCTAAGATGGGCAAGAGAAGACAAAAAGGAATGGCAAAATTCAATAAAACCCCACGCCAAATATATAGATAAATATGATAAAAGATTTTTTCAAACTTCAAAATGTGATCTTTCCTAACTAAAAACCCAAAAGAAACGAAAAGGAAATGCAACCCACTACTTTATACGAAGATAGAGACAGATGGACTGTCTTTCCATGACTTGAGATTTTGAGAGTACTGTGTGTTGGTTTGTAGGGTTTATTTCTCCAGGCCTGATATTAAAATAAATAAACAAATCATAATTATTGTTTTGTCAAACAAGAAAATAAAGGTAAAGGGTGTTTGCAATTGCAATTTGCAAGTAGGTTATTGAGATTCTTGAAAAAAGACAAAGGGACCTCATCTACATTTGAGATTACAGAGCTTGTGAGTAATGGTGGCGGTGGGGCACTTCAATCAGATAATAATTTTTTGCCTTCTTGTGTGTGTAAAAATTGTAAATTATTGCTCTGCACAATGTCCCCAAAGTAGGTGATGAGGATCATCTTGTGTTTTGTATTCTTATTTCTTAATTATTGGATAAGTATCATATTTTTTTTTTAAATATCATAGCTTAACTTGATTCGGAATGATTTATATTATGGTATATATTGGGAATTTGGGATTGACTTTAGATCCTTATGTGATAAAAATAAAAATTGGAATGATTTATATTATGGTATATATTGGGAATTTGGGATTGACTTTAGATCCTTATGTGATAAAAATAAAAATAAAAAAAAAGCATTGAGTAGTTTGAACAGACCGGTCAGTCCCATAGGTAGGATTAAGAACCGATCACCTGATCAACCTGATCTTACAAAAAATGCAAGAAAACTTATCAAGAGCCGCTAGAAATTGGTCAGTTGAGCCGATTTATTTTATTATTTTTTTATATAAATTGTTTTAGCATATATAAAAAAGTTTTTTTTAACATAAATGAATATGTATAATTTTAAATAATTAAATATTTGTTTGATAGAAAAAATATTTCCATTATTTTTTAATTATTTTTAATATAAATTAATACATGTAGTTTTAAATAATTAAAATTTTAATAATTATGTATATGTATGAAAACTAATTGTAGATGATTTTTTATATTTAATTAATAATGGTTGTATAAATTGAGTTAATAATTTGAAATACTATATAATGTCTAAAAATATTAATAAAAAAATATTGATCTAAACAATTACAAAACATTGATTCAATCAGTGAATTACTATTAAGAAACGTGTATTGAATGAAATTTTAAAGTGTGTTTCATTTGAGATTTTGGGTGATATTTTTAAGATTTTAATAAATTCAAGGTTTTTTTTTATAAGAAAATGTTGATTTTAGTGAAATATTTTTAAGTTTAAGTTGGAATTTGATGGTGAAATTTGGCATGTATAATTTGTGTTTCAAGTGTCAGTAAATATTTTCTAACAAATTTCAATATTAAATATATTAAACATGTCTTGATTATTTAAAAATCTACATTTAATTTAGAATTTTTAATAGAAGTTTAAATCAAATATACCAAAATTTTTAAAAAGTTTTTAAAAATCCTAAATTAATAAACCCCACTAAGATTTTTCTAAATCAATTTTTTTAAGCTTTGTTAATTTAAGTGAAATCCATAAACACCTTACGGGGTGTATTCACTTAGGCTGTTGAGTGACATTTTGAGAGTTTTTATTATTTTCAAATTTATGATGAATCCTATGAAATCTGTCTACACAAATCCTAGTCTCAATTCGTTTGGAACTTCTAAAGATTTTTTAAAACTTCAGAAATTCTGTTGTATTTAATTTTAGACTTTTAAAAGTCTCGAGGTATTCATTTGAAATTTAATAACATCCTGATATATTTAACTTATTTGATACTGAAATTTATTCTTTTTAAGATTTACTGAGATTTCAAAAGAAAAAACATATACGAAATCTCATTCTAAATACCACATCCAAACTTAGGATTTCACATGATTGCTCGTAAATCTGAAAGTTTAAAAAGTCTCAAATCTCAAAAGTCTCAAAATGTCATTCGAAATTTTAAACTCATACACGTTAAATAATTTAGGATTTTGTAAAACTTTTAATACTCTCAAACAATTGATACTTTTAACAAACTTAAATACACCAGATTTATGAAGTTTGAAAATGTCTTTAGAAATTTCAAATGAATACGCCCTTTTTAGATTTAAAATCTTCTAACAAATCTCACAAGTGTTAAATAAGTTAGACAACTCATATTTTCTTAAAAAATTTTAAAACATCAATTGAATACCTCAAAATTTGTAAACGTCTTAAATATTTGTAATTTAACTACACTATTCTTTTTTTTTTTTTCTAAGAAATTCTAAATCAGTGTATCAGTAAATTTGAACGATTTACAGCTTGTTTCATTAGTTCAGTTTTGACAACCTAGACTTAAAGTTTGTTTGCTAACAAATGTCGGCATAAAATTCTAATACATTACTAGGAAATGCAAATGATCATTGTTGACAACTTGACATATATATGTAACGTCAATTGATTCCGGAGGACATTGATTTTATGAATGTAAATGTTAAGACAGCTCAATGTTATTGTTGTTAATGAAAATTATAATATCCCATTTTTTTTATTTAGGGTCAATAATCAATAATATTCTAGTTTTCATTTTCCATGGTCAAAAAATTATGACATGATAATAACACCGGGAATAATATGTACCCAACTCGCATTACGTTGTAATGAATATGAGTTGGTTTCAAAATTACAGTCTTAGTTGTTTTAGTCAAACATATAAGTGCATGCTGAGTTAAATACTTTGACTAACCGTATAGAGTGTTGTGTACCTTATAAACTGGCATTTCGTTCACTAATTTTTAATACATGCAAAGCGTTGTGAGAGGTTCTAATTGATGTTTAAGTTAGTTTCTTGTACAAAACAAGTCATTTGTGCAATTGCAAGTGGAGAGAAAACAAAAATGTGATCGATTAAGGTCTTTGTTTGTTGTGTTTTTGTGCTTATTTTTATGCACTTTATGTGTTCAGTTGAGTCGGTTCTAGGTTCGTTTTCTTGTTAAACCGATCCATTTTAGTTGTTTTGCGTATTTTTATTCGTATTTGGTGTTTTGTGTTATTGGCTTACTTTTTCGTGTCTTTTGGTGTTTTATAGATCCGTTTGTTCGAGTTTGAGGAGGAACCGGGCCGAGTCTCGAGCACGCGAATTGAAAAATCGAGCACTTCATCTTCGTCCATATCCGAGTCATTGTCCGCGTTGATGATCCCGAGTCCCAATAAATGAGCAATTCCAAACCGTTTTCGAGCCATTTCAAAGCAATCCCGAGTTTTACCAAACTTTTGTCAAGTCGATGACGTGACCACCCGTGCACTCGCCTGCGCTTTCGCCAGGCGAATCGGCACTCGCTCGCACGCCCAAAGAGAGCAGCGACACTCGCCCGATATTTCGCCCGGGCGACCAGGACAACTCGCTCGCGGGCAACCCCAATACTCGCACGGGTTTCGTCAGGTGAACCAACATTCGCCCGAGGCCACATGGAGCACTCGCCCGGAATTCGCCCAGGTGGACTGATATTCGCCCGCGGCATGGAGCGCTCGCCCAGCATTTTGCCCAGGCAAAAATGTGGCTCGCGTAAAACCCAACACTCGCCCGGGTTTCGCCAGGCGAACCAACATTCGTCCGAGCCACGTGGAGCACTCACTCGGAAATCGCCCAGGTGGACTGATATTCGCCCGCGGCATGGAGCTCGCCCAGCATTTCACCCGGGCGAAAATGGGGATCGCGTGAAACCCAACGCTCGCCCGAATTTTGCCAGGCGAACCAACATTCGCCCGAGGCCACATGGAGCACTCGCCCAGAATTGGCCCAGGTGGACTGATATTCGCCCGCGGCATGGAGCACTCACCCAGCATTTCGCCCGGGCGAAAATCGGGCTCGCGTGCAACCCCAACACTCGCCCGAGTTTCGCCAGGCGAACCAACATTTGCCCGAGGCCACATGGAGCACTCGCCCGGAATTTGCCCAGGCGGACTGATATTCGCCCGCGGCATGGAGCGCTCGCCCAGCATTTCGCCCGGGCGAAAATGGGGCGAGTGTGAAATTTTAATTGTGTGTGTTTTTAGTGTGTGTTTGTGGTGTAGCTAAAAATAGAAATTATGCTGTGTACTTTTTTATATCACCCCTCATTCCCCAACTTTTATGTTGAGAAATACTCTCTATTTTCTCTCCTTTATTTTTATGCTTTGGTTTGGAGGTTCATAACTCATTTCTCCGACGAATTTCATTTTTAATCAAGACTCGAGTTTTACGCACTACTTTCTTCCGAGCATGCAATAGAAGAGTAAGTTCCTTGCTTAGGACTTACTACTTCTCTAGATTTTCGCTTTATTTTCATTGCTTGTTTCGTGTGTTAGGAATTCAATACGTGCTATCTAGTATAAAGATTTCGACTTTGCTCAAAGCGTGATGATTTAGTGTAGAAAACTCGTGTTAGATTACCTAGGATCACTATGCTCGCATGTTTTCTCTTGCTTATTTTTGTTTTCTTGAGTTATGGAGACTCTGTGCAACCAAGGTTTTGATCGTTCTTTCGATTCTTGCATCGTTCATCATTTGCTCTTAGATTCATAGTTTAATTTCGTGCAATCCGCTCCCATCAAACGATTTGCTCTTAGATTCATAGTTTAATTTCGTGCAATCCGATCCAATCAAGCGAGTAGCATGTTTAGGACCTTGTTTTCGGTTATGTGAATTGACAACTAGATAGTAAATAACATGGTTCTCATAACCGGACTGGACCGGCCGGTTCAACCAGTTAAACTGGAAAACCAGTTAGCACACCGGTTCAATTTGAGGTACGTAACCGCTGACACCCAAAATCGGTAAAAAATCGAAAAAACCGATGAACCGCTCACGGCTCGCGCGGCTGAATGGCTGAACGGCTGCTTCTTGGAGCTTTGATAATGGAAGTCAAAGTCATAGTTTAAATAGCGGTCTCCTTTTTTATGTGTTTTCCATGTAGGATTTCTTGCAATAAATATTTGAAAAGCTGAATTGGACTGGGTTTGAGGCCTACCACAATAGATAAAATAGGTGAGTTATGTTATGTAAATGTTGGGCCAGGTAACTTGTAGCATTATTGTGATAAATTCTTTTCATTATGTTTGGCCCGTGACTAGCAACATTATTATGATAAAAAAATTCCATTATTTATATATTCCATTCTTTTCATTATGTTCGTATACTAAATTGAAACACAATAATGTATAAATTGTAATACATAACTTTTCATCTGTTTGTTTATTAATCGGCTCGTGACATTTTTTTTTATATATATAGACTAAAATATATATAAAAAAATATATCAACATTATGTAACATTGTGGGTTGTTTCCATTATGAACTCTTATTTAGAGAAATTTCATTATACACTATAAAATTAATGATAAAATTATATTTAATTATATATTATACATATAAAATAAATAAAAATTATATATATTATTATACCTGTTCGACCGGTTCGACCACTGGTCCGACCAGTGAACCATTGAACCGGTAGCTTCACCGATT